GAATTTCACTAGACTTTAATCCTTTAAAGCCAATGGCAAAATTTAGGAACGAAAATTTAGACAGCTAGATTTCTGTAGAAAAGCCTCGCATTATATGCTTTTACGCTTCACAATACAGGTTTTCTCTCAATTCTGTGAATGTATGGATTATTCATCCAATCATCCACTGAACCATTCTACTAATCACATGCAGTGTACTGACAGATGCTAAGATGACATTATTTCTGTACTTAGGGATTCCAATAGAAAAGGAAAGAAAGGAAAACAAAGTATTGAACAAAATTGTATTTAATACCAATGATGTGCAACTGAGTTCAAGGGAGATTAGTGTTTTGCCTGCCACGTGTGTCTGTGTGAGGGTGTCGGTTATCCTGGAACTACAGATAGTTGTGAGGTGCCTCTTGGGTGCTGAGAAGTGAACATGGGTCCTCTGGTACAGGAGCCAGTGCTCTTAACCACTGAGCCATTTCTCCAGTCCCTATACAATTTTTGTCTTTCAAAACATGGTAAAGACCTGGGAGCAGCAGCTCAATCATCCAAGAGAGTAACAAAAAGTCACAGGCTGGTCTCAGACCACTGCACGATCCTCAGATTCTTGTTATATCCATATTTACAACTATGTCCTCAAAGTTCAGGGTAAACTAAAGCCAAGAGACAAACTTACTCAAGGTGTTAGAAAAGGACCAGAGCACGATTAGACAGTACACATGAGTAGTGTCACCATTACTGAGTAATGAATACATAAGTAATAATAATAATAATAATAAAGAATGAGTAATAAGTGAGAAAGGAATACAAGACCTCTAGGTAGTCCAGGACAGCTTCGAATTCTGAGTGCTGGGGTTAGAGAGATGTATCACCACACCAAGCATTAGAAACTGGTATTTTTAGAGAATATAGAAGATTAATCTAGAAACTACAAAAAAGGGAAAGAGCAGCTAAGGCACAATTTCTAGCTCTCTTTTAACTTTAGCTTTTATTTCTTTCCTAACTGTTGTTACTGACCTAACTGTACAGTTTGAAAAGTGAAATTTTGTTGCAAATTGATAATCTTGTTAACCCAGAAATTGTAAACTAAATACTAACATAAATAATTTTTTACAAACAAGAAATAAATTGTGTAAGGCATTTTTGATCATGATCACAGAGGTGACAAAATTTTGGTCAAAGGTACAGGGCAAGCAGAAAAAAAATAGCAAAACAAACCCCTGCAATATAGGACCCAAGTGACTGTAGCAATGGGAAAAGAGAAGTAAAGAACTGGAGAGGGCTGGAGATGTAGCTTAGGTGGTAGAATGCTTGACCAGCATACACAAAGTCCTGCCTTCACCCCAGCAGAAAACCCAGCAGGGTACAGTGCATGCTTGCAAGCCCAGCACTGAGGCGGAAGTAGGAGGAGCACAAGTCCAGGGTCGTCCTCATTCTCATGCACACTTCCGGGCTACTCAAAGCTCAGTACCAAAAGTTGAAGCCACAGAAGTGGACTACTGGAATCACTGGGGAAGATGGAGGTCCAGAAGGAAAACACTCAACAATTACTTCTTTCTTCAGCAGAGTTGGGGGATGGACCTCTTTATTTGGGCTCTGTATCACAATTTCATATTCATGAAAGTGTTTTACTATACAATACAAAAATGACCCAAAAAAGAAAAACCTAAGAATTCTTTGTGGTTTGGCATTTCTATAACTATGTAAAATTTACAGGGTCACACTACAAGAGACTTTAAGGGACTTCACTGTTTCTTCAGCTAACTTTGCTTCCTATTGATACTGTGGCCAAAAGAAATAAGGTCATTAAAATCACAGTATAATCAAAAAAGCAACGGTACATGGTTTTAAAAGGAAACATAATGTCCCAGATATTTTGTTTGTTTGTTGAGACAGGGTCTCCCTGTGCAACCCTGACTGCCCTGGAACTCAGATGACCAGGCTACCCTGAAACCTGGGTACGTACTCCTTCCTGTTCCTCCTGCCTAGCCTCCAGGGTGCTGGGATTACAGGCATGCACCACAAGGAGCTGATCTCTTTTTGTAGGCTGGACTCAGAACTACAGATCCTCCAGCCTGGGCCTTCTCAGTACTTAGATTGAAAATCTGTTCTACCACACCCAGCTTTGATTAATTTCTAAAATGCCTCCTCTCATGGGGCCAATAAAAAACTACACAGCAGTAGCATAAAATGTTCACATGTTAAATAAAAATAAGCTTCCATTAAAAGATGAAAACCCAAGTTTACCAGTTAGCCTTTTCACTAAGTATTAACACAACTTTAGAACCTGACACTACAAAGAACCATTGCTTCCTTTAAAAAACAAACAAACAAACAAAAAACCTGTCACCAAATTCAAAACCAAGATATAAACCCCGAAGATATAAACCCCGGACGGTCCTACAACCAACTTCTAGGGAACAGAATGCCATTAAAAATGCAAGTAAACCTCGAATTCTGACAAACTCAGGTTTAAATTTCACCTCTGCCACTTCCCTCCTACATAAGCTACATAAGGCTTTTAAAACCTTAACCTACTTACAGGTAAATGGTAATAGTGAAACTACCTTCCTCAAATTTAAGTCAAAAAAAAAAAGAAAGAAAAGAAAAGAAAACGCACTATATTTGTCTTATGTGGTAGGCACATATAAAGGACAGTATTATATACATCATAGCACCTCCACTTCTTTAGGACCTGCAACCTAGAACAGAAACTCCTGAAGTATGAAAAGTACTTAAAACTTACTGCTAAAAATCACAAGCAAGGAAACAACAAAGAAACATGATTTAAGTATTGGTCTTAAAATATCTATCACCTTTAGATCCTCTGTATCTGATCCCATATGAAACATTCTCCTCCTAAAGTAGTAAAAGTCTACTGGGTAATTCAAGTTTTCAAGAATGTTAAATTTTCAGATTACTAGTTATTTAAATTTAATTTAAAAGTTTGCCCATTGTTTTCTTAAATTATAGAAAATACTGTTATAAATTAACAGTGTATGAATTACTACAGAATATTCTTGCTCAAGTCACAAAAATGATGCTAAATTTAAAATTAAAATTCTCATTCGTTCCCAACACTATACTAGGTGAACTTACACAGTATTCTGTGAAACTTAGTGCCCCGTGTGTCAAGAATAAGGAATCTTATCATTTCTTTTTGAAAATTTCAGGCCTTTCCAACATGGCAGATCTACATTAACTCTCACACTAAGTATTCTCTCCTCAGCTATCTTTCTAGCCAAATGAGCTACTAATAATCATACAAACGTAAACAAAACATGAAAAATCCCTTTAAAAAACTGTAACATTTAATTTTGCATGCAGTGCACTGTCATATATTTTCAATCGCCAACTTAAAACTATTCAATGATACACAACGTAAATAATGCACAGCAACTTTTAGGGACTTAAGGTCTAGTTCTGTGGATTAAGGCAAATGATGTTGATTTTGTTAATTTATCATCACTTTCACCAGAGAGCACAAAAGAAAGACATTTCCAAAAATAAAGATGAAGCTGACTTCTGAACAATCATAAGAATAAGGAGACAGAACCCTAATTCTGGTGTAACAACGCAGTATAAAAATAGAAGGTCCCAACTGAAAATATTCTTAAGAGTTTCTTTAACACCCAGCTAGAAATGAGTATGTTTTCCACATGGGCGCACTGGTCTGGAATTTAAAAACCAGGCACTCAGAGTGGACATCTCCAAAGTGCACCACACTCGTATGCCAGTCAAGTTTGAAAAACGTCACGGTCTTTTCCAGGAAATGTTCAAAATTAAGAGTTCTCCTCACACTGCTCGCCCCTAGGTATGAGGTCTCCACCGGCGCCAAAGAAAACGGGCAAAAGTCTTGGTTCAATGATCAGATTTCGGATCACAAAATGTGAGGACCTGAGTGGTGCATCTGGTCCCACTGCTGTCACAGCATTTACCACACAGTAAAAGGAGTTGCACTCGCTCTCCCTCTACAGAGTTGGTTCTATCAGGAAGATGGGATGTCACCAAATCTGCCCCAAGGGGAGCAGCAGCCAAGTTGAGCAGAAAACAACTATGGGGGGAGGTGTCTTTGTGAACAACAATACTGCCTTGCGGGGTACATGAGAGCAGCAATTAAAAAAAATAAAAAAAGGTAATAATGAGAAAAATTAATAAAAGAAAAAGACGGCGCGGGGGGGGGGGGCGCAAAGGGGCGGGATGTAGAGACTGCGACCTCCAGAGGGAAGGAAACACCCTGAAGAACCAGGAAGCACTTCGCGTCGGGGAGGAGAAAACTGCAGGGAAAAGTGAGGGTCGGCTAAGCCGCTTCCCCCGCCCGCCCGCCCGCCCGCCCCACGGTGACAGCCCCAGGCCAGGCGGCGCCGCAC